ACCCCTACCCCCACCCCCACCCCAGCAGTAAAGATCCGGATCAGAACTGGCCTGAGGTTGTGGGCTGTGGCGGCAGCACTCCTGCCAGCAGCCTGAGGGCTTGCTGTTTCTGAGCAGCTTGAGGTCAGGCTTACCGGGATGGGGGACCTGGTCCCTGTCCAGTAACTCCAAGCAGAACAAAGGCAGCTTGCAGGCCAAGTCCTGGGGCCCGGGCTCCGGGCTCCAAAGGAGCATTCCTACCTTGGAGGCAGAGAGGAGGCCTGGTGATGAGTGATGACCCATTGGGCTGCTGACCACAGATGAGCAGCTAGAAAGGACCGGCCACTCCATGGGAGAAAAATGAGGCCTCTCTCATAACAATTTTCCATCTCGGGAACCCACGGGACAATTCTACCCTGTCCTATAGGGTCGCTATGAGTTGCGATGCACTTGATAGCAGTGAGTTTAGGTTTCGTTTGACCTAGTCTTCAGGATCTGGGAGGGTGGGGGAGGCTCGCTGGGGCCCGGCTTTGGGGAGAGGGTCTCTACCACTCTCTGCAAACACTCCTCCTGGTACAGGCCACTTGAGGAGCCTCACAGTCCAGAATGGGACAGACTCTTCATTCTCCCCAAATCTGCTCTGCAGTGACAACACCGTCATCCCCTCAGTCCAATATGAGCATCTGTCTCAATACCCCCTGTCCCTCCCCCTATCTCCAGTCAGTCACCACATCCTGCCAGTGCCCCCTCCTAACCTCTCTCAGCCCATCTACATCTCTCCACCTCCCCATCACCTGTGCCCTAGTGCAAGTCTGGTCACCTCTCATAGGGGCTGTGCTGAGCCCCTCTTGCTCTCCTGCCTGTCCCTGGCCCACGCCCAAAGGAAGAATCCAAAGCACATGAGCTCTTCAAGTCCTGGCACTTCGTTTAGGACCTGGCTGACTGAGAGCATACACATCAGTGGAAAGGATGATCTCTTCTCTTCAACACGCACGGCCATTGAGTCAATTCTGACTCATAGCAACCCTACACAACTGAGTAGAACGGCCCCCGGGAGTTTCCAAGACTGGGACTCCTTACGGCAGTAGGAAGTCTCATCTTTCTCCCACGGAGCGGAGTAGCCGGTGTTTTTGAACTGCCCTTGCAGTTAGCAGCTCAGCGTGTAACCACTACAGCACCAGGGCTCCCTGATCCCTTCCTAGCACCTGCTGTAAAAACCCCCAAGAGCTCTGTCCACTCTGGGTAGAGTCCAAAGCATGAGTTGCATGTGCATGGGTTAAGGCCCTTTGCAATCAGCCTCTCAGACCTGATTAGGACTTATTGAAGGCTGGCTCCGCCTGCTTCATCTCCCCACCGCACAGTCAGCCTCTGTAAATGCTCAGGGAATGAGTGTCCGAATGAAAAACAGCATGTAATCAGGGCCATCCATGCTGCAGGCCAGGGCTTCTCTCTGCACCAAGGAGGGAGGGAGAGAAGCTACCTGCTAGGGTGGCCCAGGAAAGGCTTGAGGAAGAAATTCGGCAATAGGACGAGGGGTCACGGGAAGAATCTGCCCGGGTCACTGATAGAAGAGGCAGGGGTAGGAGGAGGCCGAGTGTGGGAAGGCAAGGAGAGGAGTTGAGCCTTGGTTCCAAGGGCCTGGGTAGTGCTGGGAGGAGTGAACAGGAGAGGGAGGGGGAAGGCTGGTGCCCAGCTGAGAGAGCCAGGGCTGGGGGCTTGCCAGGAGAAGGGGCATGCCATGCCCATGCGGTGTGCAGGAGAAGGGCCTGCTGTGGAGCAAGGAGGCCCTATTATAAGGGTTGTAATAAAGGGGAGGGAGGTGGGGGATCGCATGTGGTGAAGGCAGAGCCCAGCCACAGGAATGGTGCTGAGATGGGTCATCTTACGGTCGAAAGAGGGATCCTGGGAGACAGGCTGTGAGGGGAGCACCAAGCAGAGAGAGCTCCTTGCCCTCCAGGCCCCGCCATGGGGAAGACCAACAGCAAGCTGGCACCCGAGGTGCTGGAGGACCTGGTTCAGAACACGGAGTTCAGCGAGCAGGAACTGAAGCAGTGGTACAAGGGCTTCCTGAAGGACTGCCCCAGCGGCATCCTCAACCTGGAGGAGTTCCAACAGCTCTACATCAAGGTGGGCGCCACGCGGGGGCAGCGGGAGGGCGGCCAAGGGCGGAGCCGGTGGGCCGGCTGGGAGCCCCAACCCCTTCCACCCTCGCCCTCAGTTCTTCCCCTATGGCGACGCCTCCAAGTTCGCGCAGCACGCTTTCCGCACCTTCGACAAGAACGGCGATGGCACCATCGACTTCCGGGAGTTCATCTGCGCCCTGTCGGTCACCTCCCGGGGCAGCTTCGAGCAGAAACTCAACTGGGCCTTTGAGATGTACGACCTGGACGGCGACGGGCGCATCACGCGCCTGGAGATGCTGGAGATCATCGAGGTGCGCTGGGAGGCCCGGGAGGTGCGGGCATCCCGGGTTGGCCTTCTCCAGCCTCAGGGGGCTCCTTTCTGTGCCCCAGCTCTCCCCCGGCCCACCTCCCACGGCTGGTGATTACCGGTCCAGCTCTCAGTGCAGGACAGGCTCCGAGCGAAGCGCTCTACCCAAGAACTACCCAAGAACGCTTTTGGGGAATGGACTGCTGGAATCCCTGTTTTACAGATAAGAAAACCAAGGCAGGGCTCAGTCACAAAACCAACAAGTGCCAGAAGCACCGTCCAAGTCCAGGGAGCCTTACCGAGTGCCCCCCGCCCCACCCTTGCAAACACTAACTCAGGGTGCCTGCTATCTCGGGCTTCCTTCTGGTGAGAAACTTGTTTTCCTTTTTGTTTATTAAGCTAGCTACTTTACAATGTTTCAGGGGCCAGAGAGTTCCCTGCAGAGTCACGGAAAGACCCTCAGGCTTATTGTCCTTCTTTCAGTGGCCCTGGGGGTGGTGAGGAGCCAGGTATGTGGGAGAGGTAGTAGGAGAGTGCGCTGATGCCAGAAGCCAGATCTCTCAGCGTCTGTCTTAATTACTTAGTGCAGTGCTCACAGAAATACCACAAGCAGACGAATTCACAGGACAGAAATGGATTTTCTAAGTCCAAACCCAGGTTTCGGCCACGTTCATTCCTGTCGCTCGATCTGAGCCTCGCTCAGAGTTTCCGATGCTGGCCAGCTATCTCGGGTCTCCTTCATGTTTCTTGGCATCTGTCTCTCACCAGTACCCTCTCTGCCACCACCTTCAGGTCCCCATCACTGGCCCCAGCCCTACCTGCCCCCTCTGGGTGTTCACACCTCCCTCCTCTCCGCCCTCCACCCCCCACCCCCAGGCGATCTACAAGATGGTGGGCACTGTGATCATGATGCGCATGAACCAGGATGGCCTCACACCCCAGCAGCGTGTGGACAAGATCTTCAAGAAGATGGACCAGGATAAGGATGACCAGATCACGTTGGAGGAGTTCAAAGAGGCGGCCAAGAGTGACCCATCCATTGTGCTGCTGCTGCAGTGTGACATGCAGAAGTAGGGGCCCGGCAGGGGCAGGGCCCCTGGGCTGGATGGGTGTGGCCACCTCCCGACCTGTTGACCTTCCCAACCCTCCCAGGGGGAGGAGCACTCTGCCGTCACTCCCTGGCCCCCACCCTTCTGTCCTAATGCTTCCTCCCCCCCATCAAGATCCTTGAGGGACCACTCTACCCCACGAAAGAGACAGGTCCTCAGGTGTCCCGTCATCTGGTCTCACCCCCAGCCTTGGCCCAGAACCAACATTCACTGGGTATAGGGGAGTTTGCCTTTGCCCCAAAGAGACCGGGTTAAGGAGGGGGGCTGGGGTCCTGCTTTGAAGTCTTGTGGATTCCTGGGATTGAGCTTTATAGGATGGGTCAGAGCAAAAGGTCCAATGCGGATCTATCCTTGTTTGAGGACCAGAACCTTTAAAGGTAGTCCGACCCTGCTCCCTCAACTCTACCTGGCCTCTCTGGCCCCAGCCTTTCCGGGTGTTCACTTAGTCCTTCATTCAGCTACTGTCGATTGAGCACCTGTTCCATGCCAGGCACCTCAAGGTGCTAAAAATACGGTGGTATACAAGTCACATTCCAAACCTTCCTGGAGCTCATAGGCTAGTGAGGCAGTCTCCTGGGGTCAAGACCTCAGAGGGGGGCCATTGAGGGCAGCATTGAGCAGAGTGCGGGTAAGGCTGGGTCGTCTGGAAGAAGTTACCAAAACCAGTGCATCTCTGCCAAATGCTGCAGAAGGCTGAAAGGGACAGCCTTTGGGAGTTTGGGATCCCTGTAAGTGGGGGAAGACTAGACATTTTGAGAAAAAAATGGAAACTTATTTTTGTAGCACCCTTGAAAAGAGCTGAAATCATTTTTATTAGTTTTAGGATGTTAAAATGTAGTCTCTATTGTTTGGTTTCTTAGAAAATGATTCCATGAATGTTGGAAATGGTCATGTTCTTCCACTAGAGAGTGGAAGAAAAAAGAGGGGGAGGGTCGACTGCGCCTTCCCCACTTCTGAGATAGCAGTTCCTGCCGCTTCTCCTGCATCCTTTCATTGGCTGTCTCCTGTCAACGTCAGCTCTTTCTTAAGCACCCACTATGGAGGGGTAATGACTTCAGAGACTTTTTGGGGGGAGGGGGGGAAATTTCAAAGAGATGCTCTGCGACCAGGACAAGGTGTATTTCCCACATTTGGGACATTAATTTCAAGCACAGGCTTATTGTTGCCCCGAGAAGAAGAGGAAGACCTGGCCTCTGGAGCGGCCCCCCTTTTAGGTTTCCAGACCATGTTTATGTAACAAATGCCCAAAAATGTGCTGGGCATGCGCCGTTGAAAAGGCTTCTTCTGCCCCCAAGTCCTCAACTCTGCCAGGCACTTCATCTGCCGGGGGCACTGGCTCTGCTTTCCAATGTCCGCTTTCCGAGTTTGGTTCCTGGAGCCGCGCAGCTGTGCGCTTTGACTTCTCCCAGCGGTTCACTTTCGCCTGTGCTCCTGATCAGGCACTCCCTTCGACCTGCAGTCACAAGTGATTTCCTCCGCAAACGCCCGTGAGAACCATCCAGGGGACAGGTGCTGCCAACCAGGGTAGGAGTTGGCAGGGGGCTTGGGGCGTTGCATCTGCAGGAAGCTAGCTCACCTCTGGGTGCTCACCTATCCTGCCTCTCTGCAGGTGGAAACTCGGGGGGATGCTGACCTTCGGCCCCAGGTTTGAGTGAACCTTCCTTTTTGGCTGCCCTTGAAGGTAGTAGCCCCCCTGCCCAGCAGCGTCCCTGGGTGGCCATGTGCTTTCTCTCCCTCTGCCTGGGACAGCCTCTCGTGGTATGGCTGTGGCATTCACATTCTCAGGCAGGAGTGAGCAGCCCTTCCCCGCAGTCATGCCTCAAAGGACGTTCCACGGCGCCCAGGGCCTGGCTTCGAGGTGTGTCTTGCGCTGTCAGTCAGCACCTCAGACACGGAGAGACTCAGCGGCCTGGCTCAGCCGGGACAGACCTCCTGGTGGCAGGTATTTCCAGCGGGCTTCTTTCCCATCAAATCGCGAATCTAAGCTAGCCTACACTTGCACAGCTCCTTCCCGACCTCTGAAGACTTGTCAGCTGCCGCCATCCAATTGTTCAGGGACGGAGAAATCACAGACTTGGAGTCAGAGGCTCCTCTGGGAGGGCAAGTCCTTCGTACAGTGGGACGGCCACACTACGGGTGACACCTTGCCAAGACTTGCACCCAAGACTCTTGAGAGGGTTTCTGTCCTTCAGCATCTCTTCCTGGCTCTTGAGTTATGCGGAGGTTGGTTGTAGGGAAGTGATGCCGGATTTGGTCTTCTGCAAGCTTCCTGCTAAGGAGCTTTTGAGGCTGTTGTCTTCCAAACACGAAAAAAGGGAGCTGGGTCAAGTCTCACGTTTTCAGGCATCCTGTCTTCTGCTTCAGTGCAGTTCGCGCGCGCGCGTGTGCGCACGCGGGGCCAGTGCTGCTCTGGGAAGCTCTGACTCAGAAGCCTGGGACCCTCTGGCACTGCCTTTACCACCATCTTCTCCCTAAGAGAATTGTCTTTGTCTTTTCTAGGCTGGTGGACAAGTCCTACCCATGAGGGTATGTTTGATCACTCTAAGCTGCTAGACACATGCCCCGTGGGTGATATCCACTGGTCTGGCCGAGACCTCATAGACAGCTAGCAGTGTGCATTTGTAATGCCAGGCCAGGATCTGGGCCCACCACATACTCATGGGAGGAGCCACAGGAGGACTAGGTCTTGCTCCCACAAGGCCCTGGGCAGCCCAGGACCTGTGTTCTCAGGAGCCCTTGTGGTTGAGCACTGGCCCTGCCTGGAGAAGAGAGGCAGGCCCTCTCATCCCTCCTCAGCGGAGAGGGTCTTGGGACAAAACACAAGCCAGCAGAGAATTAAGGATGACTCACATAGACACGAAAATATACCGTGAAAATGTTGAGGTCTCCAAATTCTCCCTTGAGATTCTGCATCGTCTTGCGGCAACTCTGAATTGCAAAGTCCCTTCTCAGAGGCTGCCTTCTCTGTCATTCATTCTCGTGGGCTGATTGATAAGCCCATGGCTTCTTATCTCTAAAAAGTACTAGCAAGGGCTACTTCAGATGGCCCCTGCCAGGAGCTCGAGCCAGCTTTCTGTAACTTCCCATGAAGTCACCCTTGGAAAAAAAGGAAGCAAAGACTTCATTCTTTTCTGACAATGACAAAGCTCCAGCGGTAGGATGTAGGTAGGTTGGTAGGGAGAGAGAGAGAGAGAGAGAGAAAGGAAGGATAGAAATAAGAGAATAAGCCAGGATTTCTAGGCAGGCTAGTAAGCTGCCACTGTAAATATTTTTACACAGAAATTTATTAAGACAACAAATGTTTACTGAAGATCCACCCCGAGTGAGGCTTTTGCTGACTTGAGAGAACATTGTGGGGGCCAGAATACATTTCTTACATAGTTTATTCATTATTCTTGAAAAATGAATTCATCCAACTATTGAAAGGTCTTGGGGGGGGGGTGTCAAAAAGGTGATTTTATTTCTGAAATGACAGGGTTCTTTGTCCGTTGCCAGAGGGCGGGGACAGGGCGGGTCTTCGCAGGGCCTGTGGCCCTTCCTGCTTGGGAGAGCCTGCTGAGGTACAGGACTTTCTAAGCAGGAGGTGGCAGTAGGGAGGCTGGGTGCCGGGAGGCACCCTCCCCCCACCTCACCACAAGCTCTCCAGCCTAGAGCACTGCCCAGGAAAGCCCCTGTGCCCTCCCCCGCCCCACCCCACCCCTCACACACACCCTCCCCCACGTGCTGCTTCTGGCTGGGCCTGCAGCACCTGCCCTAGCCATTTGACCTCGTGCTGTCGGTGCTTGTTCTGTTTCCTCACTGACTGAATAAAAGGTGTGGCTGTGCCCCTCCTCCTTCTTGACCTGGGACAGGAGTCGGTTTGGAGAAATGGGAACTGGAGGCCTGAGGGACCTCACACAGCGGAGTTATCTCAGGCATCTCCTTGGGGCCAAGGTCTTGTACTAGTGAGGAGTCTGGGTTACAAGGCCACTCTGGCCTCTGGCCTCGCTCAGAGAAGTGGTGGGGGTGGTGGGGGTGCAACTAGGACTTCATGGGGAGATAAAGATGGAAAATCAAGACTGGTGGGGTTTCAAGAGAACTGGAGCTGGGCCTCCTCCTCTCTGTGCCTCACAGGCTCGCATCTCCTTGGCAATATTTGATTTCCCTTCGGTTTATCTTCCCACCAGCTCTCTGCAGACGGACCCTCCACTCTGGCCAGATCACCAGTGACTGACAAACACCCCTCCCTCCCACTACACACACAACACACACACATCTCTCAGTGTCAATTCTCAAGCAAAATAATCCAATTGGTTCATCTTAGCTTTTGACGGGGCCCCTTGGGTCAAGTGCTCTCCCAATCTGCAGTTAAAATAGATCCTGCCCTGGTGTGTTGGGCTACCAACTACAAGGTCAGCAGTTTGAAACCGCCAACAGCTCCACAGGAGACAGATGAGGCTTTCTACTCTCATAAAGAATTACAGTCTCAGAAACCCACAAGCCTATCCTGTAGGGTCGCTATGAGCTGCAATCAACTCGATGGCATTGAGTTTGGGATGTAGAGTGTGTGGACAGAGAGCAGTCCTTTATGCAGCAGGCAGTAAGACTTGGTTTCTCCCTCTGTCTCATGGGAGGACATCCTGAGAGTCCAAATGGGTGGAGAGTGGACAGTGGCAGAGAAAGGCCATGAGTGGATCCACATGGGAGCTTTTGTATAAATTTTGGGAAGGTGCCCCGACTGAAAGGAACCAGCCCCCCAAATCCACCTTTGGGCTAATTAAGGAGAGTCCTTCAGAACTATAGAACCCTGTAATGCCAGGACACACAGCTTGGCCATTGGAGCGCAGATTGGGTTTCAGCCTCCACCTGCCCCATCAGTCAAGAGCTATGCAGCACATAGCCCCACCCTCCACAGGAGCTCCGGCCTGAGCCCTCAGACCCCGACTCTGGCCCCATCTAGCATGAGCTGATGATGAAGTGTCCCTCTCAGAACATCCTCCCACCCCACCCCCAGCCAAAGCAGCCCTTATTTCTGCAGGGTACTGCTGAGGGTGCCTACTGCCTCCTGTAACGCTCAACTGCCTTTTACAAGTTTCTTCAAGGACACTTGGAGGAGACCTGCCCTGTTGGCAGGAAGCAATTAGGGAAGGAAGAAAGCTGACCTGGCCTCAGGGCAGCTATGAACCCCAGGGGTGACTCAGAAGCCGGAGAATTTGGGGCTGCCAGTCCACACATGGAGGGGTGGGCGAATCGTGCCACGTGCCTGCTTGGGGGCACACAGTCCAGAGGGTGCTGCTTGTTAAAAACTCCCCACTCAGGCCCTCCACCACTCTATCTTGGCCACGTTAGTTCACTCCCTGCCTGCCACACCAGTCTAGCTGCCACGAAGAAGCCAGAGTGATGTTCTCCAGGTCCAGGCGCAGATCTGTCCCTGTTAGTCCCCCCAGGGCTCTGCTCTTCCCTCAGCGTGGCATTCAAGCTCCGTAAGTGGTCCTCGAGGCCCTGCAGGGCTGCTGAACTCAAAAGCCTCGTTCTTACCCCACTCACCTCCTGTGTGCTGCTCTGAAGACAACCCGAGTGGGCCCCCACTCTTGTAAGAGGTCTCAAGACTTTGTTCTTGGCCTCTGTGGGCCACCCAGTCCCCTGTCTCAGTGTCTCTGTGACGGCTTCTCAACTCTCAACAGTTGGCCCCTGATGGGCAATCAGTTCTTGGGCATTGCTAAACACATCCCTGTCAGCTGAGCCAAGTACACACTTCAACCTGTAGTTCAAGGACAAGGAATAAAGGCTCAGAGGAGGATAATGCTGAGACTAGAACTCGGCTCTCCTAAGATCCAGGCCACTGCTAGTTGTGCCATCTCGAGCGTGGAAGGGAATCCTAGTCAGAATATGGAAAGAGAGGCAACAAACCATGATCTTTGGCCTCAGGGCAAAGGTCAGGTCTGATTAACACGATGGGTATCTACCATGTTCTCTTCCCTGACCCAGGCAAAGACAGGTGCCCAGTTCACATCATTTGAAATGAATAACCCCGGAGAAAACAGGAGCCCAGCTTGCCAGCCGGCTGAGAGTGGCCTGCCTGGGACCATGCTCGCTCATCCATGGATAAAATCATTGTACTCAGGGGACAAACTAAACTAAGTCAAACCCATGGCTGCCGACTTGATTCTGACCCAGGACCCTGCAAGGTAGAGTTTATCTGCCCTATAGAAGGCTACAATCTTGACAGAATCAGACTGCTTGCACCTTGTACCTGTGGTTAGAACTGCTGACCTTTCAGTTACCAAGCCAGTGCTTAACCACTGTGCCACCAGGGATCCTTTCAGGGGGTCAGTGTTCTACAATTGGTTGGTTCTGCCTACTCCTTGGTCTAGGAGGGTTGGAAAGATTGCTAGTCGAGCAAAACCCTCTTTGGGTCACTTGTTGAAGAGATGTGAAGAATCTCGTGGAAACTGAGGGATGGCGCACAGAAGCCATAGTTTGGCTGCTTCCTCTCAGAGCATGCTTGCTCTCTCCTGGGTTTGTTGAATGGCTCACAGAGCTTTTGTTAGCTTTACTTTGCACATAACCCGTTTGTGAAGGAGATTTCAGGTCTCTTAGGAGTCAACTGTCTTTCACAACATCCTCAGCTTGTATCACTGTGGTTGACTACCCAGCCCTTGTTTCCTAATTCCACATTCCTGAGAAAGAAGGAATCTGATTGGTCCAGACTATCTTATCAAGTCAGGCCACACAGGTCACTGAACACTACGTGGATTGCTCACCTTTGGGTGTTCACCCTCATCCAAAGAAACAGACTCTACAGTCTTCCTACTGACCTCATCCTTTTCCTCCAGAAAGCATCTGGAAAGAATTGACCTCTTGGAGTTTCAATTGTCTATTGCTGTGTAACAAGCCACCAAAACTTCATACTTAAAACAACCATTTATTGGTTTTTCATGATCCCGTGGGTTGGCTGGGCTCAGCTGGTAGGTTTTATTGCTTCGTGTGGCAACAGCTGGGGTGACTCACACAACTACATTTACTTAGCAACTTAGCACTGGGCTGAGGCTGAACCACCAAGTGGACCTCACTTACATGTCTGCCAGTTGATGTTGACAGTCACCTAGGACATCTCAGTTCTCCACTGGCTCTTCTGCTCTCTCCCCATGTGGCTTTTCTGGCCGGGTAATTCAGACTTCCGGTTCCCAAGAGGGCAGAAACAGAAACTGCAAGTTCTCAGAAGGTTTGAGTTTGGATCCCCGTAACCACTTCTTTGAGCTTCCATTAATTAAAGTAAGTCACAGAGCTTGCTCAAATTCAAGGGAAGGGAACTAGACTCAATCTCTGGATGGCCAAAGTGTCAAGATCACATCACCAGTGGGCAAGCAGAGGGGAGAGAGTTTGACGTCATCTCTGGAAACAATCTATGATGCCCAGAGAAGAGCAGGCTTAAATATACACGCCCCCATCCTAAAACTTAAAGAAAACAAGATTATTTCTCCCCTTCTACATAAGGTCCTGGGGCCCTCCCAGGACATGGTAGAGGCTGGCAGATCCCTCCATCTGGACTTCCCATTAGACCCCCCACTGCCAGGATTTTTCCTTGAGGCCCCCACTCTGTGCGCTCCTCCAGGCTGACGTCCATCACTCAATGATGCTGTTCATCGACTTCCTCGCTTATGCCTTTGGGATAAGCGCACAACTCCAGGGTGGTGGTCCAAGAAGGCTCTCTCCCTTGAGGGTCCCTCTTGTACTCTCCCTTCTTCTAGCCCTTCCAAGCCTTCAGCACCATCCCAGGCTGGGCAGGTGGAACCTGGGAGCGCGCGCCCCCTGCTGCCCACCCAGGGAGCAAGCGCTGGGGGGTCCAGTCTGGGTCTTTCCAGTCCAGTCTCTTGCCAGGCAGAGGGAAGCCCGGTCTCACCACAGACTTCAGGGCTCCCTCCGTATGAGCGTGGAAGAGCTGCCCGCCTGCGGTCAATGGAGCTGGGCACCCACCACCTCTTCTCCATCCACGAATGGGCCCCAAGCTCCCCGCATCAGAGGGGGCAGAGGAGCGGCTAGCGTTTCCTTTTGCTCCCTTGTGGATCACCAGCCTGGGGGGAAGTTGCCAAGCCCTCGGCTGAATGCCCTTGAAGGCCAGTGAAGAAACATCTCGAATCCGCAGCAGCCCCTCCACTGGAGCTCCCTAGAGGTGGGGGCCTGGCAGGGTGGGGGTGGGGGGGATGGAGGAAGAAAAGCTCAGCTGTCCCCAAAGTAGCACACAACATCCAGGCAGCCGAGAGCAAGTTGATCACCCCACCGCCCCCTCCCCCCCATCTCCCATCCTTGCAGGCGGGGCGGCCCGCACCCCGCCCTCGCGGCTGGCCGGCTCTCACACGCACACTCCCCCGCCCGGCCCTTATCGAGGCCGGACGCGCTTCCCTCCTGCCCCGTCCCGCGGCCCCGCGGCCCCGGCTCCCTCCAGGCCGGCTCAGAGCCCCAGCATGGAACCTCGGGACCCCAGCGAGCCCCAGCCCGGGGCAGAGACCGCGGCGGCCCCGCGCTGGCCGGAAGCCAAGACTGTCCACGACAAGACTGTCGCGTCCAAGAAGAAACCCAAATCGGTAAAGGCGGGGCACGGACAGGGGAGTGGGAGAGGAGAGGCGCAGCCCCGGGGAGGGGTCGTAAGCCCCTGGGGCAGGATCAGTGGTGCCCCTCCGGGAGCGGAGCGCAGCCCTCAGCACTAGAATGGCCCAGCTTTGGCTCGGGCTCCGGTTTATTTTGGGAGCTCTGCTCTGGTGCTTTCTTCCCCGGGGCTCGGGTTCCACGCCAGGCGCTCCCTCCTTCTCGCGCCCCAGCCCCGGGCGCCCGCGATAGCACTTGTTGGCAACGCCGGTCAGCGGTGTCTGCGGAAGCGCCCCGGGTTCTGGTAACCGAGCCCAGGCAACCCGGTTCCTGGCAGAGGGCTCCGGGCTCCGCCATCTGGGCACTTGGCTAAGGACCGGAGTCTCTGCGTCGCGGCTCCGGCTCAGGGTCGTGTGCCTAAGGAGA